AGCTCAGACACATCTTGCTCGAGTCTTTACTCTTTCCCAGAAGTCATGTATGGAGAACTAGCAAGAATGATATCAAATCCACCTGGTTCTTACATCTTAGTCAATGTATCTCTTCCATTTTTCAACTGTGCCCGGGTCAAATCCATGTACCTTAGCTAAACCGGGCATCTTTTACAGGTTCTTCTAACTCCCCATGTCGGTCATACCATATTCTCAAAATTCGCCTTTTTAAAGCGTCAAAAGGAGATGCCATGACTCAAATACTAACGAGAAGGTGCGGCGAAAATAGAAATCTAAGGACATTCAATAGCTTTAACAGAGCGCAGAAAGCAGATGACAATATTATACCCTTACCGGGGCATAATATCCGGTGTCAGGGGTTCCATCAAGATTCAATGTGTGAGCCAATGCCATTGTGAATTTCTCACCAACGGCCATCGGATATATCTCTGTGTTGATATCTAAGTGCATGAACATTTCCAAGTTGTGACTCCTTGCTTCAATGCGTGTAACTGTTACACAACACAAAAAACACGCCATAGATGCAAGAATGTAGTCAATAACAGAAGAGCATTTTAAGACTAGAGATGGGGTCGAGCCTAAAGGAAGAGACTTTCCCAACTATGAAACAAGTAAGAATCGTAATTCCCATATTCCTAAACCAGTGAAGCCAAAATTCTATCGTTCTAAGCAATCAAGCACTAGCGAGTAGCGACCATAGCAAATACACCCTGAAGCCGAAGACGAACAAAACCTAATATACAATAATTATCTACATCATTTTTACAAAGTATACACTTTGCTTGCTCAGATCATACCGCTATTCATGATTTTGTATAAATAATTCTATGAAGACCTGCTTCAGATAAGATGATGATTCAAGTTTTTCACAGTGTACTCTGAATCAGAATGAAAAGGGACATCTTTTACCATTGAAACCAAAGCCACACCGAAGATTCACGAGGAACAATGTACAAATTAACCATGAATAACATCTAATTAGAAGTAACAAGCAATTAAAAGCTTAAAGGGTATACCTTTATCAAACTTTTTGCCATCAGGGTCCAGCTTATCCACCACGAAAATGTCCTCGAACAGAATAATATTATTCGCCATCTGCAGTGTATGCCCGAGAAATCAAAGTATGAAAACTGAAGAAGTCCGTATCATGAAATTGAGGCGTAGACTGGATTGAAATCTGAATCCTTTTCTTTGACTTTGTAGAAAAGAACGAATACCAAAATAGACCCAACAAAAATTTAGGAAAATCTGGCAATACCCAAAAGAAAAAGCCCCCGAAAGAGTTCGAAGAAGAAGAAGAAGAAGAAGGAGAAGGAGAAGGAGAAGCTCACCTGCTCTGATGGCGCACGGCGGAGAGAGAGAGAGAGAGGGGCGAGAGAGCTAACCTTTTCTTTTTCAGTCTAAATATAATAATAATGTTAGAGGGTTTTGGGTGAATCGGAACATCATGCCGTTTCGTAGTTTCCCTTGTGAACTCCGTGACGTTTGTCTATTTCTGTGGACGGATTTATCCGTAACGAATATGTGAGGGAAGGAAAGCGAGAGAGGGGGGAAATTAGCAACCAAATGAGCGAGAACGTACAAACAAGAGATTTCGTTATCCACTGAACTCATCATCCATCGCAGCAGCAAGATCGTAAATTTTCTCGGGAAACAAACAGAAAAATGGCTGCTTGCTCTACGTCCCTTCTTCTACCATCAGGTAACACCTTCAACTCCTGCTTTAACTTTGATTTTTCTGGGTTTTGTTCTTCTTCTGGAATGAAGTCTTTTTCGTCTGCCTTTACCAAAAAAAAAAAAGTCTTTTTCGTCTGAGCAAATGAATTCTGGGTTTTTATCTGTTCACTTCAATTGATGAGTTACTGGGTTTTGATTACCCGAAATCGACATGGATTTGGCGAAACCCACAATTTTGTCGGCTTAAATAATCAAATTTTGGGGTTCTGAATGAGTGAAGGAACAATCCCATCCTTGGTTGCATTTAGAATCTTTGTCTTGTTCTTGGATTAATAGGAATCAGCTGGGTTAATCTCGTTGTCGCGATGCATTTAGGTTCCGTAACTGGAAAGGGATTCAAAGTAAAGCATCAGAGTGAAGCAAGAGGCACAGCCACGAGGCTTAGAATCAGAGCTTCAGGAACAAGAGAGAAAATTCGCGAAACGAATCTCCCCAGCCGTAGGGAAGTAATCCAATTGGTCATCGGTGCTTCTGCATTGTCTATCAGCTCTCTCGTAGCCAATGCGGCGGGATTGCCTCCAGAAGAAAAGCCGAGACTTTGCGACGATACGTGCGAGAAAGAGCTTGAAAATGTATGGTGAGATCACATAACACCTTTTTTCTTTTGGATTGGATCATTCTAACTCATGGATTATATGACATTCCCAACCACTGGATTTCTGCTCTTTGATTCAAGGTTCCGATGGTAACTACAGAATCGGGGCTTCAGTATAAGGATATCAAAGTCGGTGCAGGTCCTAGTCCTCCGGTTGGTTTTCAGGTAAGGAAGGAAATGTATCATCTATCAAGAAGTATCATCCCGGTTTTAGTTTTCGTTCAAGTTTGATTCTTGTTCGGATATGTTGTGGATTCTTGCACAAAATCCACTTCCTTGCCTCCGACGTTGATCTTGCATACTCAAAAAAACATGGCAGGTAGCCGCAAATTATGTGGCTATGGTTCCATCAGGGCAGATTTTCGACAGGTGAGATTCCCGATCCATCCCTTCTTCATCGATGATATATCCAAGAATCAGAAGCGGAACGTACTGAGGGCAAATCGTGATTTTCTCTCTGCAGTTCACTAGAGAAAGGGCGACCGTATCTATTTCGTGTTGGGTCTGGCCAGGTGATTTCCATATATTCCACACTTGGAGTTACGTAGACAAGAGTAAGAAACATAGACAGATACTTCATGAATAATGTCTGAAAAGAACAGGTGATTAAAGGGCTTGACGAGGGGATCCTGAGCATGAAAATCGGCGGCAAACGCAGACTCTACATCCCTGGCCCTGTAAGTCCTCTCGTCGATCCACAAAGATCCATAGCCCCGAAATCATGTTTTTCGTTATTGTCTGGACAAGAAAACTAACAGAAGAGAGAAGCTTGTTCTTGTCAGTTGGCGTTCCCGAAAGGTCTGACCTCGGCTCCAGGGAGGCCGAGGGTTCCCCCGAGCAGTCCCGTGGTATTCGACGTTAGCTTAGAGTACATTCCTGGCCTCGAGGCTGATGAGGAGTAAAAACTCTGAGCCGGAATCTCTGTTCTGTAATGATCTTCAACCATATCTTATGTTTTGCATTTGTTGGTATGAGGGCTTCCCCTTTGTTTGTGATGGCAGAATTATTGATTTTGATACTGAAAAGCCCCTTGAGCGCGTATATGAGCTGAGCTCAAGCTTCGCGAGAGATCTCTAATGGCGACGAGAAACCAATAATTGCTTAGTTCTGGTTACAGACTCCCAGGCAAAAAGCATAACGTGATAACCGTCTTTCGAAACCTTCTGATTGCGTTGGATCCGAAAGTCAAGTTCTCCGAACCTTCTCTCTGAGTCAGCAGTTCAGGCAGGTTCCACATCAATTTACTATGGCATTAAAAAGCGACACGTAGAATCTTGGTTAAACCGCTCCAAGGTCGTCGATTCTCTCGAGAAACAAGCTTTGGTTTCTCAATATTTGGGGTTATTGATCATTTTAAGACAATGTTATGGGGTTAGGTTATATTGATCATTGGCATTTTGGTCTTTTTTTGTTGGGTAAAGTTTTGCTCAGGTAGGTTCGAACTCCGAACTCCGGTGAGAACTTTGTCCATTCTGCCACCCTATTGGTCATTATTATCTCCTTGAATAGTTGTGTCATTAATCACTACAAATAGTGATATGTATAGTCTCCTCATCCTTTCTCCAAAAGATTTGCAACTCAACAACAGGACACCAGAACATGGAAGAGAAGGAAAAAAACATGCTTGATTATTTTTTACAAACAAAAATTATTTAACTTATTTTTTTTTTTTCCAATTTTCGATCATCCGTGATTTTGTTTTTGTGGACCGTATTATTCCGAGCATTAACCCGAATTCAAGATTATATTTTTGTTACAAAATTACCCAAGACCCACCATTGAATGCATAATAGGTTTGGTGGGTGAACATGGGCTTAGTAGTCGATACTGTATTTCGCAAATATTAAAAGAAAAAGATAGAGAAATATCGGATTGATTTTCTCTATATTTTACTCTCTCTCAAATTCAAAAAACATGAAATTATATTTATATACACATACTTTACTCTCTAATCACACTTAATTCTTATAATATACTCTAATGCTGTACATCATTAAACATATATCCAGCGTAAAATGGCAAACCTAAAATGAAATGGATTGAATGTAATATTATTATTTTATCAACGTATGGATAAAGTCAAACGATTCCCTCGCGCGTCCTCTATTCGCTGTGAAACGTCCGAACGAGATCACATACGGTTTTATGGTCATTGGTGAATTTTTAGAGCGGAACACGAAAAAACACAAGAGAGATGCCATTATTATTATTATTTTTTATATAAGATTTGCCTCCAATGGGATTTGAACCTAGGTTGGATCACTTAGAGATGCCATTATTTATTACAGGGAAACGTTACAGGAAGGTGGAAACCAAGAGGAGACATGCCCCTTTGGTCGTTAATTATTATTACATTAGACGAGGACTACACGAGACACATACGTGACATGGGCATCTGCTTCATCAACCATGCTTATATATATAAGTAGATTAAGCGTCGCTGGATTTCATTTGAATGGAAGCCCCTGGTTTGTCGCTGCAATAATCACAGTAGCAAGTAGGTCTAAAGAATTTCCCCAGCTTGCATTGCCCGCCCAAAGCTTCCTTGTCTTGACGGCAGTTGAGGTAACAAAAGCTCGGGAAAACCAGAACAATGCAAAACGTAATCGGCGCATCTTCATACACTTTCAAGCGGAGCATTCCTCGTCCAGCTGACGAGCTTCCATCTTCGGCACTTCTGCATGCATTGTTTTTCACACATTTAGCATTGAAACTTTACCAAGATCTTGCATGGTTCCATGCATGCATGCAAACTAGTTTTTTATTTTATTTTTACGTACTTACCGATGACCGTGAGGACCAGAAGAAAGAACACGAGGAAGACATACCGTAGTGTCTAAAAAATTTTCGGGAACGAGTCTTCTGGTTTCACAAAGTGACAGAACAATAACTCTACAGAATATGAGGCACTATAGAATTTCTGTAAAACACAACGCTCTGTAATCCAGGGACCACAACCCTATTTATATAAAATAAACTTTCTGTAATTTCATTTCCACCCATAAAAGAAATGATAATTACATAATTGGTATCTGCACATAAATCCTATATTTTTCTGAAATGCTATTTAGGTCTCTAAATTCTTAATTAGATCACAAATGACCTTATTAAAATAGTACATAATATATGTCTTGATTTGATTATATGTTGATCCACCGAATTACTAGAAATAATTCTAACAATCTCCCACTTGGAGCAACATTTAAATTCCCGTATGACACATATTACCTTTATTGAGCTCAAAAAATTACTATTTCTTGAACATTCCAACAATCTCGTTCATAAACAAGTCAATATAGAACCATAGTGGCTTTCATCACATTTTTTCGTGGTTGAACCTTCTATGATCACATATATCAACAAATTCAATAACATAGATTAAAATATAGGTTGCAAGTTGCAACATGAAAATTACATGTTATGTGACCTGAACATGCCTATTTTCAATTGGTCCTCCTAATCCTCATGGAGATCGAATGTATAACTTCATCATTCAGAGTAAAACTGTAACAAAAAACTGTATTTTATTCTGCAGAATTTTCTTATTTTCAAATACAGAACATAAACTCCCACTACAACTATATATCATCAAATGATGTAACACCCATACGAGCAACATGCTCATGAAAGACCCTAGGTGGTAATGCTTTAGTAAATGGATCCGCAATCATGGAAGTTGTTCCAATGTGTTCCAAACTTAATTGGTTACTCTGAATTCTTTTTTTAACAACTAGGAACTTGATATCGATGTGTTTAGACTTGGACGAGCTCCTGTTGTTGTTGGAGTACATAACTGCTGACTTATTATCACAGAATATCTGAATTTCCACTCTATTTATAATATGCAGCCATGTGATAAAGTTTCGCAGCCATACTCCATGGTTTGATGCCTCGTAGCATGATATGAATTCTGCTTCCATTGTTGAAGCTGCTGTGGGTTTGTTTGACACTTTTCCAAGAAACAGCTCCCCCAGCTAACAGAAACACATATCCAGTCGTGGATCTACGACTATCTTGACATCCCGCAAAATCAGAGTCAGAATATCCTACGATCTCCAACTGATCTGATTTTCTATATGTGAGCATATGATGTTTGGTTCTTTGTAGATATCTTAAAACCCTTTTTGCTGCTTTCCAATGATCAATACCAGGGTTACTTAAGTACCTACCCAACATCCCAACTGAATATGCTATATCCGGTCGCGTACACACTTGAGCATACATGAGACTTCCAAATACAGAAGCATATGGAATCTCTTTCATTTGTTCCTTTTCAAACTCATTCTTTGGACACTGAGCGAGACTAAACTTATCTTCTTTGGCAACAGGGGTATTTCCTCCTTTACAGTCTTTCATTCCAAACCTTGAAAGAACTCTTTCGATATAGTTCTTCTGTGATAATCCAAGAACATCTCGAGAACGATCTCTATGTATTTGGATTCCCAATACAAAAGATGCAACTCCAAGATCTTTCATTTCAAATTTCTCTGAAAGGAAAGTCTTAGTAGCACGCAATAAACCTATATCGTTTGTAGCAAGTAATATGTCATCGACATACAATACCAGAAAAATATATTTACTCCCACTAAATTTATGGTACACACATTCATCAACAACATTTGTCTCAAAACCGAATGAGCAAATTATTGTGTGAAATTTATGGTACCATTGACGAGATGATTGTTTGGGTCCATAAATGGATTTCTTTAATTTGCATACCATTTTTTTCGGGTCACCGACCACAAAATTTTCTGGTTGCATCATACAAATAGTTTCATCAATGTCAGTATTAAGAAATGCTGTTTTAACATCCATTTGATGTAACTCAAGATCACAATGAGCCACTAATGCCATGATGATTCTAAAAGAGTCTTTCGATAATACTGGAGAGAAAGTCTCTTTATAATCGATGTCTTCTTTTTTAGTATAGCCTTTTGCGACAAGACGCGCTTTATACTTATCCACATTACCCTTTGAATCCCTTTTAGTCTTAAAAATCCATTTACAACCAATGGGTCTCACTCCTTCAGGTAATGTAACAAGTTCCCAAACGTTATTATCTAGCATAGATTTATATTCGTCTTTCATTGCATCTATCCACTTATCAGAGTTAGAGCTTCGTATTACCTGATGGAAGTTGATTGGATCATCTTCCAAAATTTCAATACTTACTTCATGCTCTTGGAGAAATACCATATAATCATCTGAAATTGCACATCTCTTTTCTCTTGTGGACCTTCTTAATGGAATTTTTATTTGAGGTTGTTGAGGTTGTTCTTCTTGAATAACCTCTTAAATTTGCTGCATAATGGGAAGTTCAAAGTTGTCAAGTTGTTCCTTATTTTCTATTTCGGTATTAACCATAGGAATTGTAACATATTCCTCTTCAAAGACAACTTTGTTAACTTTATCGCCCCTTGCAAATTCAACATCCTCAAAGAACTTAGCATTTCCCGTCTCAAAAATTGATTTTGTTGTGGGATCATAAAACTTATAACCCCTTGACCTTTCAGCATAACCGACAAAATAACAACTGATTGTCCTAGAGTCCAATTTCTTTTCATGTGGTCTGTATGCTCTAGCTTCTGCTGGATAACCCCAAATGTGGAAATGCTTTAAGACAGGTTTCTTACCTGTCCAAAGCTCATAAGGAGTTTTTGATGTTGCTTTTGTCGGTACTCTGTTGAGTATATATGCTGCAGTTTTTAATGCTTCTCCCCAGAGAGATTCTGGTAAGGTTGAATGACTAATCATACTTCTTACCATATCTTTAAGAGTCCTATTTCGTCTTTCAAATACACCATTCATGTTAGGACATCCAGGCATGGTGTATTGTGGGACGATACCGCATTCCTCTAGAAACTTAGCAAAAGCTCCTGGACGTTGTTCTCCTGATCCATCATAACGATCATAGTATTCACCACCACGATCGGATCTTACAGCCTTAATTCTTTTTCCTAGTTGATTCTCAACTTGGGCTTTATAGGCTTGGAAAACCTCCAGAGATTGAGACTTCTCATGTAATAGGTATAGATATTCATACGGGAATAGTCATCGATAAACGATATAAAATATTGTTGACCGTTCCAGGATGTTGTAGGGAAAGGCCCACAAATATCTGTATGTATTAACTCTAATACATCTGATGCCCGATATGCTTCTAACCTTTTGAAATTGGTTTGTTTTCCTTTAATACACTCAACACAAACTTCAAAATGAGATAATTGTGGAATGTCTAGAATTCCATCGGAAACTAAACGTTCTATCCGTTGTTTAGATATGTGTCCTAAACGTTTATGCCATAGATGCGCGGAATTCATATTAGTTAATTTACGTTTTGTACCTCTGGATTCTATTTGCAAGGTTTCATTTGGTAGGGTTATTGTATCAAGCATATAAAGATTATCTAAAACCGAAAGAGAACCAGTACCAATTAAATTTGAACCTTGAAAAAGACGAAATATTCTACATCCAAATGAACAAGAGTAGCCAAATTTGTCCAAAGCAGAAATAGAAACTAAATTACGTCGAAAAGACGGTACAACAAATGTGTCAACCAGGTCCAAACATAAACCAGAACTCAAAGATAATCTAAATGTGCAGATAGCCTCTACTGGAACTGATTTGCCATTGCCAACATAGATAAACTTTTCATCTTCATTTGGCTTCCGGCAACGGAGACATCCCTGCATAGACATACTTATATGAGTGGTCGCTCCTGAATCTATCCACCAAGTATGTTTAGGTACCGAAGTTAAATTAACTTCTGAACAAACCAAACTGAGAAGCGTACCTTTCTTTGCACGCAAAGCATGATACTCAGTACAATTCTTCTTCATATGACCAATCTTCTTACAGAAGAAACATGAAGAAGCTTTCACCTGTTTATTATGCGGTCGTTTTTGCCGAGTTTCTGCAGCTTCTTTTCCTCTTGGTCTTTTCTTGCCCTTATCCTTAGAAGATGAGGCAAAATAAGCGCTTTCTGTCTTCTCATGCTTCATTCTTTCTTCTTCTTGTACACAATGTGAAATGAGCTCATTCAGAGACCATTTCTCCTTTTGGCAGTTATAATTGACCCGAAATTGACTGTATTGTGTAGGAAGAGATATCAAAACTAAATGCACGAGTAAGTCATCCGACAACTCTAGCTTATATGCCTTTAGTTTGGAAGCAATGTCAGACATTTCCATAATGTACTCACGCACATTTCCTTTACCTTTGTACCTCATAGAAATCAACTTTGCCAACATAGTACTTGTCTCTGATTTTTCATTCTTGGCAAAACGTTCCTCAATGGCATCCAGAAATGCCTTGGCATTTGTCCCCTCAGTAATAGAGCCCCTGAAAATTTCTGGAATAGCTCTTTTCATGATCATGAGACACATCCTGTTGGATCGATCCCACTTCTCAAATTTATGCTTCTCCTCTTTGGAACTCTCATCCGAAAGAGGAGCGGATGCATCCGACCGAAGTGCCAAGTCAAGATCCATACAACCGAGAACAATCTGAACGTTCTCTTTCCAAACTTTGAAATTTGTTCCCGTCAGGGATCGAGTTGACTGTAGCATTGATCGAAGTAGCTAATTGATCAGCTGAGTCCATAAAAAAATAAAAGATTAGCTCACATATGAATTATTTAATAAGCCATCGAACACTATAAAATAATGAAAGCCCTAAAAAAATTGAGATATTTATCACAACATTGATAATCTATCTTTGGATAGAAGTTATCAACTTGTTAGTAATATCTCACCATTCTTAAATAAATATGACTATCATTCATACAAGAAAATTAGTCCTCCTTTGGGTTGACTAATAATCTCTAAATATCCTTCGTATTTGTCACATTTATCACTGCATATTAATTCTGCCAAATAATTATCCATCTTTGGATTGATAATAATTCGCATGAATTGAATACATATTATTGTCTTAAAATTCTTCAAATACCAGATATAATCTTTTCACAAAAAAATATCTCACTTTGGTGGGACTATCAATGCGTAAGATTAATCCTACAAAGAAAATTAGACTAAATAACCATTATTCATTATTTTTAGACTTATCAAATAAATTTACCAAATAAACAAATCGATGAATACACCGACTGTATGAAACTCCAGTCCCAGAACATTTTCTTATAAAACAAGAAAATTTGATGGACTAAAATAGGTTTGGGCTTTCAATTATTAAGACTTTGGCCCAAAAAAATAAATTTATAAAAAAACAATAATAAAAATATAAGGATGCACGTGATGGACTTTCCATCACATTTTAACCAAGTTTCTTTATTCCCTTTCGAACATGCCTTTGCCGCAAGCCCCTTTTTTTTTTAAACAGAGGTTTTTATCAGTTTCCTTTTTTTTTTCTGATCTGTTTGATTTTGTTTTCAAAATCCAACCGTCGACCTCTGCTGTGGCTATTGGCTACCTTCGGTCCCATTTTCGAACCGTCGCCTTAGTTCGAGTTTTATTTTCCGGCGATCTCCGGTCATGCCAAAACTCGACTGAATCCGACAAGACATTGGGATTTTGAGGTTTGCTTTATCCTCCTTTTTTTTTTATTAAACGAATTAGAAGGAACTCAGATTAAAAAAACGGTTTAAGAAGGAACCATCGTGACCTTTCGAAAATACAAACAAAAAAATTGGTTCACTTTTACTTGAAAACGAACCATCGTCACTGAACAAACAGTTTTTTTTTTTTTTTCCGGTGAACATGAACACAATCGCTTCTTTGATTACATTCACCGATTGTTTATTTATTCAACCATTTACGGATCCTTATTTATTCAGTTCTAAACTTGTTTCCTTGTTTAAAGAACACACAAAAAAAAAAAAATTGCAGAGTTCCATAAACACTTATAACAGATCATAAATTCTTAACTGTAGAGGATTGTCCTCTCGTAACCTCACCGATTCGTCTCCGATTCGCTCGTGTGTGCTCAAGAACAGAAAAGAAAAGGAGACACCGGAGTTACGAGTTCGGTACCGAGCTCTAACGCTCGGTGCCTACGTCTCGGGAAGAGGGAACCGCTATTTGTTAGGTACAACCGCCGGAGAACCGATCTACCTCGGCACCGACACACGGAGACGAAAGATCGCCACCGCAAGAGAGAGAAACCAAAACCAAAACCAAAAATGCAAAGTCTGTGGGGAAAAGACGCAAACCCTAGGGCTTATTCTGCCCTTTACAAATTTTCCAAAATACCCCTCAAACCTTCTGCTTCGGTCCGAGGCTTCGAAAGCCTCCGATTCTCCCAGCGGGTTTTGACGAAGACCTGGCTTCTACATTAACGATCATACATTTTATGGCTCTGATACCAAATGATGAATTTTAAATGGTTTCATATAAAATTCATGTCTCATACGGAATTAAAATATGGATCATAAAATGTTGAAACGATAATAACATATATATATATATATATATATATCTATAGATATGATCGAAGACATACCTGACTCCATCTTTGTGATGGATACCGTAGTGTCTAAAAAATTTTCGGGAACGAGTCTTCTGGATTAACAAAGTGACAGAACAATAACTCTATAGAATATGGGGCACTATAGAATTTCTGTAAAACACAACGCTTTGTAATCCAAGGACCACAACCCTATTTATATAAAATAAACTTTCTGTAATTTCATTTCCACCCATAAAAGAAATGATAATTACATAATTGGTATTTGCACATAAATCCTATATTTTTCTGAAATGCTATTTAGGTCTCTAAATTCTTAATTAGATCACAAATGACCTTATTAAAATAGTACATAATATATGTCTTGATTTGATTATATGTTGATCCACCGAATTACTAGAAATAATTCTAACAACTGTCACTTTCGTTTTTCGTTTTTTTTTTATTTTCACAAAAAATTATTAATTTTTGACAAAAAAATATTGTTGAACTTTTTTTTCAATCGTCCGTGAATCCAATCAAAATAAATGTCGGGGCCACCATTGGTTTCGTTGAACTCGTCATGTCATCGGTAGAGAGGAATCGATGCTTTATATGTTTACGTGACAAAATGATTTATATGTTTACGTGACAAGTTCAACGAAGTCATGCCAAAGTTGGTCGTTAACATTTTGTCTGAATTTTTGGACGATTAGAAAATATAAAAATTTTACATAAAAAAATATATTTTTTGTCAAAAATTGATAATTGGTTATAAAATTCAAAACTAAATAATTTGGTATAAATCGTAGTTAAACTCGTAGAGTCCGATGATTTACATTAAATGGTAAAAGCTTAATCGATGATTTATATTATTTTATACATAGAGTCCGAAACCTAAAAACAAAATGAAACGGTCAAAATTTATAGGACTCGTACATGTATCTACGAAATGAGACACGTCCGAACAAGATCACGTGGTTTTCAACGGAGCTTTCAATTATGTCCCTGTCTTGTCTTAAAAAATCGAGCTTCTTTGTCCGTACGGTTAATGCAAATCATATCATATACACGTGTGTGTGCGTATTCACTAATTCTTGCCCATTTCGTGCTTGTCATCACTCACTCTATTTCCACACCGAAAAAATGCATTCTTTAACCCTAGTGGCAGTGGTAAACATGTTATTATACCAGATTCAAATCTAAATATGGGAAGGGATATTCATTCGTACTATTTCGATTCTTTGGAGATGTAAGTGTACGAAGTAATAACCAATTTTAGGACTCCTAATACACTGATACAATCCATCAACCACTTCCATATTTCTCTCAAGTCCAGGATTGCTATAGAAGTATTCGGGATTTAAATAATGACCAGCAGCATGCAATGGACGGTGAAGCTGACAATCCCATCTCTTATCGATGATTGCAATTACATCTTTGTATTTGCTTTCGTCATTGTTGAAAGACTTCTCAATGACTTCTTTTGCCTTGTCCATTGCTTCATAAATATAGGGCATTGCTGCTTTCTTTTCACTATCCACAAGTCGAAGCACTTGAACAAGTGGAGCCATTATCTTGAGAGTGTATTTCACATTACTCCAAAATGAAGGCATAATGACAATTTTTTCAGCTTCCTTTCCCTTTGCTTCTTTCGCCAACTTGTTTGTCCTCCACTCATTGGAGGTAAACATTCTTCTAAGATGATCTTTCTCCTGAAAAAGCCTTTCCAATGAAAGATAGGAAGTGGCAAAACGAGTGACAGCATGTCTTACCAATTCCCTCTTGTTCGTGAATTGACTCAACAAACTCAATGTACTGGAATGGTTGTAAATGAATCCAACCACAGATATGGCTCTTTTAATTGTGAGCTTGATCGAAGAAATTTTTCCAATGTCTTCAAGGATTAAATCCACGCAATGAGCGGCACAAGGAGACCAAAAGAGGTGTGACCTTTTTTCCTCTAACATCTTCCCCGCTAAGACGTAATTGCTTCCATTATCGGTTATCACTTGAACCACTTTATCTTCTCCAATCTCTTCAACAAGAGAATCCAACATCTCAAATAACTTTTGACCGGTCTTCACAAAACTAGATCCATCTATCGACTTCATAAACATTGTGCCAGCGGGAGAATTGACCAAGAAGTTAATCAAACATCTTTGTTTCCTATCCGTCCATGCATCCGACATAATAGAGCAACCATGTTTCTCCCACTGAATCTGATGTTGTTTCATCAATGATTTGGTATATTCAACCTCTTTGGTGAGTAATGGCACTCTTATTTGGTGGTAAGATGGAGCTGGAAGGTTAGGGCCGAAACGTCCAATAGCATGTAACATATCTTGAAAACTTTGCATCTTAATGCTATTGAATGGAATTCCAGCTTGATACCACCACCTTGCAATAGATTGGTGAACTCCACCAACAGAATCTTTGTCGCACACCTCTTTGATATTTTGTTGTCTCATCTTTTCTTTCTTGTTCCTTGAACTGGTTGCTTCGGGTCTTCTAACAAACAAATCCATATGACCTTTTTTGCTCCGTTTTACTTGTGGATTTTCTTCTTCATCAGATAATCCAAAACCCAAATCATCAAGATCAAGCTCCATTGGCTCGTTGGAACAAACCGTAGAACCAGTAACTCTCTTTCTCTTGTGAAGTTCCCACATCTCTTCACGTACTTCTTTCGGACATAATTCGCACATAGTAGTATTGCCTTTCTTTCCCATCAGATGCTCCTTTACTCTTGTAATACCTCCTTTCATAATTTTTCTACAAAACTTGCATACGAGAGTATTTGTATCATTTTCTTCTACAGCTTCAGCATATTTCCATCCAGGATCTTTTCTAGTTCTTTTAGGAGCAACATTTGTAGATGCAGATTGTGAAGATTGCCCGCCTTCGTTTGACATTATCACTGAAAAGTATTAAAATTATGAAAACACATAGATAAATTATGAAAACAAATATATACAATACATAATAATTCTGTATAATCAAAATTTGTATAATAACATGAATATAAATGTCTTAAAAAAAATAGGAACATGAACACGCCCCACGGTAGAAAATATTAGAAAATAAATATGAATACCCTATAGCCCATGCCGTATAAAACAAAAATAGAAAAATAGGAACATGAACATGATGCATACGATAACAGATGTCAGTGTAAGTGGTAGCAAGTGGCAGAAAGATTACATACAAAAATTATAATAGATAAACAATAGATGAGTGGAACATGACAAAGAACATGTCTCATGCTTTTATTCTCTATCTCACGGAAGATAAAGAGAGTTTGCCTCTCTCATCATCAACAAACAAAAAAAGAAAAGAAAAATAGAGATAAATCTCATCATCAACAAACAAAAAAAAATAGAAAAAGACAAATACCAACAGATCGATTCTCTCTCTGAGTCGTCTGCTTCTTCCTTATGTTCTCTCTCTCTGATCTTCAACTTCTGCAATCTTCTTTCTCTCTCTCTCAGTCGTCTGCTTCTCCCTTGTGTTCCTCTTTCTTTTTATTTCGAAAATCTCTCTTTTCAGATTTTGTTTCTCTTTCCTTCTTCAATTTTTTCTATTTCCAAAATCTTGAACTATTACCCACCGACGCTTCGATATCTCCCATTTTTTGTTTTCCTTTTTTTTTTTCTGGTCTTTACTTCCTTTTTAGTACGCAGTTCCGCCATGGCGGGGCTATGGCCGCCATAACCCACAATGGGAAACCCGATATGGCGCACGCAATGGCGAAAACGCCATACACGCCACGTTATACAAATACCATGGCGTCTACCTTGAAATCCGCCACGCCATCCCGCCATGGCGGGGCCATGGCCGCCATTTGACAACACTGTTTAGGAGTATAAAAAATGCATTTTTTTTTTCAAGATTTGGGGGTTTTAGGGAGAAACCAAGATATATTAAGGAAAGAGTAGAGAGAAATGGGGTGATGAAGGCCTCCGTCGATCTTGAGTGAAACTGGCTGGCCTTCTGCTGGTTGGATAAAAGACCGTCTCTCTTTGCCATGGCGAAGAAGAAATCAAACAAATCTCCAACGGCGAGGAAGAAATCGAGCAAATCCCCCCTTGTTTTCCCATCGGCTCCACCTCCGGAACAACTCTGTGTCGACCATCCCGCTCCATTACCGGCGATTGCAGCTCCTGGGTCGCTCTCTCTACCGCCGGCAGCCTCTCCGTCGGTGGTTATGGAGCAGCTCATGCCCCCTATTACCTCCACATTTCTTCCGTCGGATTCCCCCCCCCTTTCCATCTCCTTCGGGTCAAACTCCGTCTTCATCTATGGCCCCTGCTTCTCCACGCATCCAGGTGCCTCCCCTCTCCTCGGCTCCCTTAGCGGACCGTGTTATGCCTGCTGCTCCCCAAGCTCTTTCAGCCACAGTTTCCAGTGGCAACTCGAATCTGAAATTTCCTTGGGCAGATCGACTCCGGCAAGCTTCGCGGAATCTCTCCAGACTGGCCAAGCCGGTATTCTCGGCATAAGGTATCCCGCGAGTCCGAGTTCCCAGTTCGGTGTTCCAGGAAGCTTCAAAAGCCTGGGAAGGGTATATTATCGGACAGTTCTATGGAGTAGCCCCAAACACCTCTAAAATATTCCAATCCCTAAATCCAATCTGGGGTAGGAAGACACGTATCACAGTCCGTCGCATCAGCGATTCGGCATGTCTCTTTTTCATTCCGGACTTAGCCACAAGGGAATGGGCCCTCGAAATCGGTATTTGGCGAGTGGCGGATGTGATGTTCGCCCTTTCGGAGTGGACACCGACTTCTACCCTCCGCAAGCCTCTAAAATATTCCAATCCCTAAATCCAATCTGGGGTAGGAAGACACGTATCACAGTCCGTCGCATCAGCGATTCGGCATGTCTCTTTTTCATTCCGGACTTAGCCACAAGGGAATGGGCCCTCGAAATCGGTATTTGGCGAGTGGCGGATGTGATGTTCGCCCTTTCGGAGTGGACACCGACTTCTACCCTCCGCAAGCATGCTCTTACATCTGTTCCCATCTGGATTACTCTCCGGAATATCCCGCCGGAAATGTTCTCACTACAGGGTATCAGCTATATAGCGAGTGGACTTGGTGAACCTCTTCACACGGAGAGAATGCGTCTGGACCCTCTTCAGATCGGTGAAGCCCGTGTCAAAGTTGAAATCCAACTCGGAGAGACATTGAACTTGCCTCCTGCCGTTGAAGTGGAGGATGATGCCGGAGCAATCATCAAGGTCGATGTCAATTATGCCTGGCTACCCCCGCGTTGTATATCGTGCTCTGAATTTGGGCATAATCACCGTCACTGCCCTGCTAAAAGTCCTACTCAACCTCAGGTCCAGGTCAGCCCCGTTATACAACCATCTACCCCTAACTCTGAAAAGGTTATCATTCCGGTCACAGATTCTGTTGACACTCCTAAACCACCGGTTATTGTCCCACAACATTCTCAATCAAAACCTTCTCAACCTGTCACAAACACCTCCTTCTCCACGTCTAAATCCATCGATGTGGTCGAAATACCAAATAACCCTTCACCGACTCTTACTATAGTGTCTAGTGAACCCATTACCGATACAGGTACCCCTCTTCCGTTACCTTCGGTCCAGCCGCAAGCCACTTTACCTCAAAAATTTTGTTTTGACTCAGATGAAGAACTAGTGGCAGAAGCTCAACGAATCTTACGCGCTCGTTCTTCTGTTGCTGCTACAGCCCAAAAATCTCAGTACTCCCTTCGATCTTGTGTTAACAACGTCATTCTTGATCCTTCCGATTTCGCACTAGTTGGAAAAGCTCGCAAGGGTAGAGGAAACTTTTAGTTTTATGAAATGCTTTTGGTAACGAGAGCTCTAAATATTGTCTTTTCTCATGTTTCTTTTGGATTCGGTTATTATGACTCCTTGTACTTAGGGATTTATCTTACGGATTTTCCCTATTGTAAAAACATTTATATTTATAAGATTTACCGTTATCAAAAAAAAAAAAGAGAAATGGGGTGATGAATTGAGAGAGAGAGAGAGAGAGAGAGAGAGAGAGAGAGAGAGAGAGAGAGAGAGAGAGAGAGAGAGAGAGAGAGAGAGAGAGAGAGAGAGAGCCCTCCAATATGCATGATCTCATCATACGGATAACGTCAAACAAAATCCTCAACCAAATCAGAGGCTGAGCTCCCTTTCTTTATCTCGGAAACATTGAACTCCGTTTGCTGGTTTGTCCCCTCTCTCGAGTTTCAAACGCTGAGCGCAAATGTATATACAACCCTTTAGACCCACAAAAATCCCATGATATTTTTGTTGAGCCAAATAATCATTCTCGATGTGATGAAGCTCAGACACATCTTCCGGTCAATCTCCGACATGCTGAGCAAGTCCAAACGGTCACTGAAGATCACACTCGTGTACAAGGCCTTGATAATGAGCAAGAAGAAGAATGGTTCAGCCCATTGGTAGATATTGGGCTGAATCTACCGTTGGAAGATTGATGAATCAATGGAAGACAAAATGGAAAGAGAATCACAGATTATATCTTTCCATATACTAAGATATACTTTCTATATTTCTTCTCTTAGAATGTCACTTTATATTGCGTTGTATTCTTTCTGCAAAAACAGAGAATAATAAAATATTTTCCAGAAATATTCTTTCGATTCTCATTTGCTCTAGCGACCAATTCTCTTCTCCATTAAACTGATCCTTGAATTCTTTCAATTTTGGTGTTTAATCAATCTCAAGATCTTAAAGATGAAGCAAAATTAAGAACAAAAGGGGAAAAAAAACGTAGATGCCTTTATTAACACAAGGGGAAACACAGACGCATGCATGAACATGGCGAACAAAGGAAAACCAAGACTAGTGACTATACACATATCCCTTTGCTTCTATTTTTTTTATTACGCCTTAGACGAGACATGGGCATCTATTCATCGATCAAACATTTCCCAATATGCTAATATAAAACATCGTTCGTCGTTTTCGTTTTGATCGCAGCTTCTGGTTTGTCGCTGCAATAGTCGCAGTAGCATGTAACCGTGGCATAACCTTTCCAATCGCATCTTCCGCCTTTAGCTCCCTTGTCTTGTCGACATCTCATGTAACAAATGGTCGGATAGATTGCTGGAGCGCAAAACGCAAACCCAACATCGCCGCCGTACACTTTCAAGCACTCATCGTCGGCTTCTATCGTTGGCACTCCTGCATTATGTAAGTGTGTGTGTATATACATATAACATCCAGAGCATTTAAGGTAGTTTAACTGAAATTTACTACGATCTTGATCAGGGGAAATGAGTTTACTTACCAAGAACAGCCAGAAAGAGAGCGAAGAAGACAACGAAGATGGAAGCAGACTTGATTGCGTTGCCCATTTCTCTCTCTTTCTCTCCACTTTCGACCTGTGAGTTCATGTGCTATGGCTCGGTAGTATTTATACCAAAAATCCAAAAAAAAAAAAACATTTACTCTAAGTTAAATGTCACATTCATATCCAACCCGGTAGCACAACCGGTAAAACAGAAACACAAAACATTTGTCTCGCCCTGAGTTCGAATCTCAAGTTGGGGAGAAAACGTATAATTCAAATTACATGGCTGGCTTCCGACCCCGAGATTAGTCTGAATTCGGTCTAGGATACTCAGTTATATATAAAATAAAAAATAAAAACTGTCACATTCATTCAATGTAAAACATTTTCTTTTTTATTTTCACGATCAATTATTAATTTTTGATAAAAAAAAAAATTATTTAACTTTATTTTTTCTCCCCAATTTTTCGATCATCCATGTATTCAATAAAAAAAACGACTATCACGATAACGTGATTTCGTTGAATTTACCATGTCATCTATAGAAAGAAATCGAGGGATTTATATGTTTATATAAGTTCAACGAAGTCACGTCAACGTTGATCCGTTGATATTTTGACTGAATTTTCAGATGATCAGGAAATAAATGTCAAATATTTTTTATATAAAAATTAATAATTGATTATAAAATTCAAAAACAAAATAATTTGGTATATAACTCATAGTTCTTTGGGATTTTTACGATTTATGTGCATCAATCTATGCTCATAAAAATTTATGGGGTAGGTTGAAGATATGATCTAAAGGACTCGAAGAAGGTGGGGGCCCACTTTGTAGTGATTTGGATTCGATTTCTTTTGAATTTCGAGACCTTTGTCGACCCACCTAACGTTTCCCCAGAATAATTAACAAACATTATTTGATTTTTTTAGTAGTGGATACAAATATTCATAGATATCACCAATGTATTTTGCAAAAAAAAAAAAAGAGAATGGGTTGATTTTCGTGGAAATTTTCTCTATGTTTTACTTGTTAATTTTAATAATACCGTGTTTATGAATATACAGAAAATACATCATGAATGCAACACGTAAGAATGAAATAGAATAGAGTCTTACCTGAATCCATTTCAGCAATGAATCCGGTAGCGTCTGAATAGTAATCGGGAATTGTGATCTTCTAGATCAACACACGAGCAGAAAAAAAATTCTCACAATATGGGCTGTAAGAATTCTGAAAACTGGTGTGTTACCTAGGGACCATAACCCTTAATTTATAGAAAATAAACTTCTTATTATTTCCAATTCCGCCCATAAAAGAAATGGAAATAACACAACGGTATCTGCACATTAGTCCCTAAACTTTACCGAAATTACAATTTTAGGCATATTTCATAAATGATCACATTTATGCCTTATTAATAGCTAACGTTACAAAATCCATGATTTAAATCCAATATTGAATCATATTAATTGCGAATATTTATAAAATATTCTAACAATCTCCCACTTGATTCAATATATGTGATTTTGGATTATCTTTAGAGAGCTCAACAACATGCTATTATTTCGTAATTTCATCAATCTGGTCCATTGAACGTATAATATAGGACCTTAGCGGCTTTTGTCATATTTTGCACGACTAAACCTTCTAAGATCACATATATTAACAAATCCAATGACATAGATCAAAGCTTAGGTATGCAACATGAAAATTACACGATAAGTGATCTATACGTGTCTATTTTCAACTGGTCTTTTTTAACCTTATGGAGATCTTAACATTTCAGAGTAGAAACTAAAACTTTTAAACTTTATTTTCTGTAGAAAACTTTACTTTAGTCTTTTCCAACACATAACTCCCACTTAAACTATACATCATCAAATGATAGTACACCCATATGAGCAACATGTTCAATAAAGACCGAGGGTGGTAAACCTTTAGTAAACGGATTCATTATCATGGAAGTCGTCCCAATGTGTTCAAGACTTATCTGACTACTCTGTATCCTTTCTTTAACAACCAATAATTTTATGTCAATATGCTTTGACTTAGAAGAACTCCTGTTGTTATTGGAGTACATAACCGCTGACTTATTGTCAGAGTATATCCGAAGTTGTCTTTCTATTTTGTTCACAATTCGCAGCCCTGTGACAAAATTTCGCAACCATACTCCATGATTGGATGCCTCATAACATGCTATAAATTATGCTTCCATAGTTGAAGCTGTCGTGAGTGTTTGTTTAACACTTTTCCACGATATAGCTCCACCAGCTAACAGAAAAACATAACCAGACGTGGATCAACGACTGTCTTGGCATCCAGCAAAATCAGAATCTGTATAACCAATGATCTCCAAATCTTCTGATTTTCTGTAAATTAACATGTGATGTTTGGTTTTCTGTAAGTATCTCAAAACCCGTTTAGCTGCTTTCCAATGATCCATCCTTGGGTTATGTAGATACCTTCCCAACATCCCAACTGCATATGCAATATTCGGATGCGTACACACCTGAGCATACATGAGACTTCCTACAGCCGATGCATAAGGAATCTCTTGCATCTGGTTTTGCTCAAATTCATTTCTTGGGCATTGTGCAAGACAAAATTTGTCTCCTTTAGCAATAGGGGTGTTCCCTTCTTTGCAAATTTTCATCCCAAACCTCATTAATATCTTTTCGATATAGTTCTTTTGTGACAACCCGAGTATACCTCGAGCTCTATCTCGATGTATTTGGATTCCTAATACAAAAGCGGCATTTCCTAAATCTTTCATTTCAAAGCTCTTTGAAAGGAAAACCTTAGTCTCATTTAATATCCCTATGTCATTAGAGGCAATCAATATGTCATCGACATACAATATTAATAAGACAAACTTACTCCCACGGAACTTGTGGTATACACATTCTTCTACATCATTTGTCTCAAAACCGTATGAACAAATGATCTGTCGAAATTTGTAATACAATTGGCGGGATGCTTGTTTAAGCCCGTAGATGGATTTCTTTAATTTACAAACCATCTCCTTTGAATCTCCGATCACAAAGTTTTCTGGTTGTGTCATATATATCGTTTCATTAATGTCTCCATTAAGAAACACTGTCTTTACCACTACTAGAAAACACGGAAAAGGTGACGCAAAAGGTGACGCAAAATTTGCGTCACTAAAATGGTGACGCAAAAGTGACGCAAATAGCGACGCAATATTTTCGTCACTAAAGCGTCACTAAATAGTGACGCAAATAGTTGCGTCACTAAACGGTGACGCAAAAAATAACGCAAAATTTGCGTCACGAAAAAGGGTGACGCAAGAGTGACGCAAATAGTTGCGTCACCATAGTCACCTTTTAGTGACGCAATTGCGTCACTATATATGTATTTTATTATTTATACGTATAAATATACAAATATTTATATATAAATATATATTTTATATATACGTATATATATATATGTATTTGTACGTATAAATATACGAATATTTTCATATAAATATAAAATTTATATATACGTATATTATATATATATGTATTTGTATGTATAAATATACAAATATATATAAAACATAAATTTTATATATACGTATATATTATATATATGTGTGTTTGTATATACAAATATACGAGTATTTTATATATAAATGTGTATTTTACATATATTTATACATACAAATATATGTTATGTATATAAATATATATTTTATGTATGTATATATACGTACAAATATATACGTATATATATTTATAAGTATAAATATTTATATATGTATATGTATTAATGTAGTAATATATAAGAAGTTTAACTTGGATCAGTTGGTTGGTTGTCAATTGGAACTCTAAAGTTAAGCGTGCTTGAGCCGGAGTAGTGGAAGGATGGGTGACCTCCTGGGAAGTGGATTTCGAGGATTCAATCTCAGAGTTTCCGATTCAGCTTAAGATCGCGGTTGGAGGTTAGAGGTCGGGAATAGGGTATAGGGTTAGATTCGAGATTAAAAAAATTATTTTTGGATCCAAAATACGTTTTAGTGACGCAATAATTGCGTCACCTTTTTAAGTCACTAAATAGTGACGCAAAAATTGAGTCACTATTGCGTCACCCTTTGGTGACGCTTGGTGACGAAATCTGAATTGGTGACGGTATGAATGGTGACGTTTTTGGTTGCGTCACTATTGCGTCACCTTTTGAAAAGGATGACGCAAAAATATAAAAAGGTTACGCAAAAGTTGCGTCACCCTTTTGTTGTTTTCTAGTAGTGATCCATTTATCTATTAATTTAATAATGTATAGCATTGGAGTAGAGTATATTATAAGAAATAAGCGTGAATAGAGATTAAAGTATATATGGGTGTGTGTATATATAAGTTCATGTTTTTTTAATTTGAGAGAGAGTAATGTAATTTCGGTAAAGTTTAAGGACTAATGTGCAGATACCGTTGTGTTATTTCCATTTCTTTTATGGGCGGAATTGGAAATAATAAGAAGTTTATTTTCTATAAATTAAGGGTTATGGTCCCTAGGTCACACACCAGTTTTCAGAATTCTTACAGCCCATATTGTGAGAATTTTTTTTTCTGCTCGTGTGTTGATCTAGAAGATCACAATTCCCGATTACTGTTCAGACGCTACCGGATTCATTGCTGAAATGGATTCAGGTAAGACTCTATTCTATTTCATTCTTACGTGTTGCATGTCAGATTCAGGATATATTTTCTGTATATTCAGAAACACGGTATTGTTAAAATTAACAATTGGTATCAGAGCTTAGCATGTATGCTCGTATGAATGATGTTTTTTTTATTATCGAATTGTTTGCAGTTTTTTATTGGTTAACATAATAATCTGTAATATGAAGATAACAAAACCATATAAATATATATATAGGAGAATTTGGCACGGTTTTTCCTGTATATTGGCATGTTTTTTTTATACATGTATGCTGTTTAATTTAATCATGCACGATTGTATATATTTATTATATATATACATTGACAATTCGCTACATGTTTAATGTATGTATACTTGTGCGTGAGATTCAGTTTGGCATATATGCATACTGTATATATATTGGTTTG